TTCCCTTGGAAGTCTTCTGAATTCTTTCAAATAAACTTCAAGTTCACAAAACAAAAACTAGGAAGCTTGCTGTTTAATAAACACTACCAAGCATATCTTCCTGGCTCTTGCTTCTGCGTTGTATTCAAGACGCACAAGCAGCGAAGACCGAAGACTTACATTTCTTTTAATTCTAAAAATATCTCGGAAAAATCCTAAATCTTTTCTACGAATATTCGTGAATAGCTGGGAAGTTTCCTAAATTGTAACGATTTTTCTCCAGGGTCTAAGTCACTCTGGCACCTTGTGACTGTGCTGATAGTGTTTTTGTGTGTTTTGGGGTGTTTCTGTGTCGAACGAGCTGTCAAAACGTTAAGCGGCACCAGACAATGTTTACTGGCAACCATGATTTCCACAAAGCTGAAAATGACAGATCCCTCTGCGATCGTGGTTGTTTATTGGCGTTGACGGGGACTCTGTAGCTCTTTACTCCTATGGTAAAATCCAATAAGCAAACGTCAGACTGTGCGAGATACAGAGTGGACTGTGTACCATCCTTTCACTGCAACGAAAATTCCCATAAGAAACTGTCAATCTTTGCAAGAAGAGACGATGTTTTGACGATGCCATCATCGCCAATTATACGGAACAAATCTTTGGGGAAAACGGGTTCAACGGCAACTGGGGAGCGGTTCTTTGTAGATCATGACCTGCGTAGACAATTGTCCGTACAAAAAAATTGTATGAGCCATGGATAATTTCACTCATCTCCCATGTTCCGTACGATAAGCCAAATTTGGGTAAACCGGCTCAAAGTAGTTTGCATTTAAGGACGGCAAAAAAAATTACCCATCGCTAAGTTATTTTCAATTTTTTCTACCCAAAATTAAGTTCAATTAACTCAAATTTGGGTATATCGTATATTACTCAATTTTGGCTTCTCGTACGGAACTAGACGGTTGAGTCGAATCTTTCGTTCTATTTTTGACAACAATAGCGAGAGGAAATGAAACGGGCAGAGGTCAAATAACTCAAATTTGAGTTTAAAAAACCCAAGCGGTGGGTAGTTTTGTTTTTCTGTGCAGATCATAAAAGGTGAATGATAAAATCAGATTAGATGGATTGATAGATTGGTCTATTATAAACAACATAATATGTAAAAATTCTTGGAAGTGGTGCCAGAATTGATGAAAAATCATCTTTTATCGGGTGGCAGCCTGCATGACAAGGTGTTTGGAGTATGTCACAGTGTGGTTTTGTGGGTTTTAACACAAGGTAGCAGAGTGACTTACCCCCTGATGTTCCCCAAACTTATAGGAAGTTCAATGAGTTTTTTTGAAGCAAGATCTCTGACAAACTGCTACGAAGTTCCTCCAACATATTCGAAGATCCCTGCAATAAGGTGATCCAAGAGACGCTTCTCAGTGGAACTGACAGCTAGAAATCAAGAGTGTGTGAGTGATCTGGTGTTAATGGTGCTGAATGTAAACATAAACAAAGCAGAAATTCATATGAGAGTGAACTGTCAGTTCTACTGTGATCTGTCAAAAGTTATTGGCAAACAAAAAAGTCAGCTGATCGCAACTGTCTCGTGGACAGCCTTATTCTAAACGGCATGCTGAACTTTTAAGAAGTTTGTTTGAGCTACTATACGATATTGTCTGAATTTATAGTTTGCCGTACTTCTTCGAAGATCTCTGAACTTTAACAAAACTCCCTGCACTTCTATGAAGTTTTATGAAGTTCCACGAATTGCTTCGTAATTTGCTACAAAGTTCGCTTCGCTTCTACGTTTCTCGTTGATTTTCGGCAAAGTTTACTAAGGTCCCTGAACTTGTACGGAATTCCAAGAACTATTTCATAAAGAAAGAGAGGATTAGTAATTTTCATTTAATTACACTACCTTATTTACTTATCCTTGATGCGTATTTCGTCTACAATGTGCAGACTTCTTGAGTGTGTTGTACTAGTACTCGACTATTTCATGTCCATCCATTTTTCAACGAATTGTCCTGAAATTAATAAAAGGTCCTCAAACTTTTATGAGGTTCTCTCTATTTAAATATTGTTCTCTTAACTTCTACGAAGTTCCCAAAACTTGAGCAATGTTTTCGTATCCACGAAGTTTCTTGATTCTTTCTCTCCGAAGCTATACGAAGTTCTCAGAATTTCTACGAAACTTCCTGAATTTCAACGAGTTAGAGTCAGAGCGTAAAATTATTGACTGCCTAGGCTGAGTGTGAAAGTACTGCACTATTCAATCCATTGCTCTGTGCAGACCGTTTGTACCAAACGGTAAAGGACGAGGCAAAGAAAGAGCCAACAAAAACATTCAGTCACTCACGAGCAGGCGACGCACACCGCTTGCCTTCGCTCTCACAGCATGTAATTGAGTCATTTTTCCATAGAAAATGTACGCTCAGTCATTCAAAACAAATATTGGGTACCATCACGACAGAATAAACGTGTTGACTGAGCTACTGAGTGCTCGGCTGTCAGTGATTCGTTAACCTCTCAATCATTCAGACTCTCACGAGACAGTGAATGATGAGGCAGATGTCGACTGAACAATCTTCAAAATTTTCGGAACTTCTACAACATTCTCTGAACTCCTACGTATTTTACTAAGGTTCAACGAAGTTGGCTAAGCTTCTGCAAAGTTAACTGGGTTCTTTAATTGAAAAGATATATGTAGGTTATTATACATCATCTGAAAGAGCTCCATTTTCTGAGCACAATGAATTTTTTTTTTTGAACGCAAAGACTTTCATCTCGATTTTAAATCAAAATTTGAAGCAATATTATAAATAAGGTCTGTATCCACATTAATCCGGACACCTTCAAATCATTGTAACTTTTGAAATATTGCACGTAGGAGTGAAAAATTTCGCTGAGGCTTTGCTGGGAGTCATTGATTAAAAAGACTATGATTGGTGTTTACATTTCATGTTAACTGTTCAAGATGACGACGACACTTGTGCGAGTGGATTTTGTACGGACGTAATGCAAATCCTGACTTGTCAATACGGGAACTTGCAAAAAATAGGATTTACCTAAATCCACTGTTCACGGTGTGCTCAAATAATTTTCCGAACGTTTAACGGTCGAGAGGAAACCAAGAAGTGATAAAAACATTGATCCAGTCATGGACCGAAACGTGAAGAGGATTTTGAAGGAAAACCCAAATCTCTCTGTTCGAACGGTGGCTCGTAAAATAGGAATGTCACCTGGTTTTGCCCAAAAATCAAAACAGCGTTTGGGGCTGAAGGCGTATAAAGTAAAATCAGTTTCAAATCGCAACGACAAACAGAATTTGACAGCAAAATCACGCGCTCGACGTTTGTACTGCGAATATTTGACGAAGTTTTCATGCGTTGTCATGGACGATGAAACTTATGTCCTTGAAAATTTCAAGCAGCTTCCAGGGCTGGCTTTCTATTCTGCTATGGCCAAAGATGCTACAGCTGGGTATTTCAGGACGAAGAAGGCATCGAATTTTCCCTAAAAATACTTTATATGGCAAGCAATTTGCACGTGTGGCCGAAAGAGTAAATCTGTCGTCACTACAGGCACAACCAACGTGGAGATTTAACAGAAAGAGAGCCTGCAGAAGCGATTGCTACCCATCATCAAAAACCACAAAGAAAACACCTTTGTTCAGGTCTGATTTGGCATCATGCCGTTATGATAAAACTGTGATGGAGTGGTACGAAGCAAATCAAGTGAATATTTTAATAAAAACCGCAAACCCGCCAAATTGTCCAGAGTTATGTCCAATTGAGAGATATTGGGCTCTGATGAAGCGGAAAGAAACAAGGAATCAGAGATATCAAACACTTCCAACAAATTTGGACAAAGACGGCCACCACCGTATCTGAGGAGTCTGTACATTTTGTAATTTGTTGTCTTGCGTGACAGTCTATTAATATTCGTGCACTCGTGACTCTACCGTCGTCTTTCTCCCACAACACGAACGGTAGAACAACGTTCGAGCAAAAAGAAAATTATCACACAACTGTCATATGACAATGTGTGATTTCGTTCTAATTCCTCAATTTTGTGTAAATCAATCCATTTCTGATCAGACTAGGGCTACTAGGACATCGTTGCTTGCTATTTTCAGAATTCACACAAGCACAACGTGAGCAGCTCTTGTTATGAGAAAAACTAAAATACATACATTCGTGACGGGCTTCGGCGACAGTGTCGTATGACAAAGACTGTCATATGACATTTCAGTATGGTACTGACTTTGATAGCTTGTTTTGCAAGTGTCGGAAGCAGGGGTTGAAACAGTTGACGTTTTTTACCACACTCGCTTCGTTGTCGTGCGCGACAGTCTGTTTGTATTCGAACACTCATGCTCTACCGTCGTCTCTCTCACGCAACACGAGCTGTAGAATAACATTCGAGCTAAAAGGAAATTATCAAAATAGCTATCATATGACATGTGCGATTTCGTTGTAATTCCTCAATGTGGTGTAAATCAAACCATTTCTGATCAGAAATATTATTTCTAGAACATCATTACTTGCTATTTTCAGAATTCACACAAGTACAACATCAGCAGCTCTTCTTATGAGAAAAACTAAAATACATACCTACATGACGGTCTTCGGCGACAGTGTCGTATGACAGAGCCTGTCATATTACATTTTAGTTTGGTACTGTACTATGATAGCCTGTTTTGCAAATGTCGGAGGCAAAGGCAGTCAATTATCACAGAAAATGTGTCGACTACCGTGACCGCTTACAAGACTGGTCGGAAGCGAAGGTAGCCGATTATCACAGAAAATCCGTCGACTGCAGTGACCGCTTACAGCACTGGTCACAACACGTGCTTGGTATTGTTGTTTCCAGCACCTACTTGCAGTTTTAATGAAATAATGGTCTTAGCGCGTGAAATGATTCTCGGGGACAATCGAGCAATCCTAGATAGTAGTAGTCAGCAACAAAATAATATCCGAAAAACCGCTTCCATGACTAATTTCTTATCATCCTATATTTGTCCATCATTCCAGGTCGCCGTGAGTGATAATTTGTACAACTTCATCCATGACCTCTGGTTACAGAACGCTCCGATCGGGGAACTGTCATGATAAGCTGGTACGTGCAACGAATTACCGAGGCAACTCTGTCCCGTTTTAGTCATTCTCAATATCCAGTACACACTAACTTTGTATTTGAGTAATATATTTGTTATGCATCGCATTCAAAATGCGACGGGTTTTTAAGCTTCTCAGTGTGAAGTCAAAACCATAAAATTTTACAATTTGTTAAAACAGAAACGTAAGTTATTACGTGCACAAACCGAGTGCTGAACCAACCAATATCGATGGAGGTGATTTTTGCAGGATAGTTAACAGGCTAACGAGTGATGAGGCGGCAATGGATCAAAGACGGTGGCTATTTTGGAGGAGGTATTTTGGAGCAAAGAATGGAAAGCGCAGAAAAGAAGCAATTCCGAATGGAAGCTTATTTTTAGAAATGAATCACTATTCCTACACGGAGACAGATTTAGATCATTCCGAACACAAACTGCAAGCCGTTCAATATTGTTGATTACAGAGATAGTCATAGAGTGCACAGAAAGTACAACCGAATTAAAGCGTAGTATTTATTTGTCCTCTGGGTTAGAATCCTAGAGTTGTTTTTTTATTCGAAATTGCAAATCCAGTGTCATTTACAAAAGTTTAGTAACAATTTTCATATACCAATCATGCAAATACAAATAGCTATACAAATTGAACCTTTCAGGAATTTGATTCAATTTTAAAACACAAGTAATGTGCCTTAAAGAGGGTTCACCTGAGTAAAAGTCATACACACACAATTGTTACAAATATTATCTAGCAATACCTTAGCTGTATCGTAAAACTAGTAAACCCCTTCTTATTTCACTTCTAAAAAATAAGCTTTCATTTCAAACACACTGGTAGCTAATATAGTTTTCCTTGTTCCACCCGATTTCCAACACCACAACTGCGTCATTCTTGTTTCCCAGTCTTTTCACTTTATCCGAAATTGATCGTAGAAGATCTCAGATAAACTTAACCTTGAAGATGCCCCTTATTAATATCATTGGCAAACTAAGTGATGGTTTAAATTTGAATGAAAATAAAGACAAACAAAATGAAGAACTTGATGCAATAGCAGATTAAACTTATAGGGAAGACATACAACAACAGCAACCTAGCTAATAGTAAAAAATAATACACTTGAGCTCCCAGAGCATTGGATAAACAACGTGAGTAAAATCAGTTTTGCCTTATTGTCGTTTTCTTTGGTTAGTGGAATATCACACAGCTCTGGGGGTTGGTTGAAGTTGAAGCTATCAACACAAACGAGGAAAGTTTACGCCGCCAAAAGGAAAACATATAGCACGTACGATGGAGAAGGAAATGTGGTGGAGGTCAAGGTCGAAAGGGATCACTAAACACATGTTTTTCTATACGAAGCGTGATCATGTCCTTTCTCGAAAAAAGTAGAAGGGACTGCGCCTAGGGGCACGAACGGAAGCTTGACGTAGGACCGCTAGTGGACGAAACAAATGTGAAGAGCATTTAGTTCATTTAATTGATCGATCATCTATTACCTTAACTCTTTCCGTTTTTTATTTGTAGGTGTGCCAAATTTGTAGTAATTTTTTTCAAAGAGAAAGTTGATGAAGAGAATCGCTCCAAATCACTTGCACCCCTGCTTCCAAGTTTGGACAAGATTACAACTCTGGAGAGCATTATGTGTGGTTGTCGGGGACGTGTGGTCCTGAATATGGACAAACAGACACAGATAAATTATATTCTAACTCTTTACTGTAATAAGCTTGTTGGCCCTGAAATAGGCCGTTTTGTTGTTAAAGTTGGTGATGATTAACCTCCGAAGCCGTACATAGTGCGTCTCTGTCGCTTCAAAGCGTAGATTACATCCATGGCCGCTTACGCTTGACGTGCTCAGTGTAGGTGACAGCATCACGGATCTCATTTTCCAGGATCACCTCGTATATCAGACCGGAGATTCATTTGACACCGCCACGGTGAACCAGACGACGGATGGCGACTTCTTTACCAAGACCTTTTCCTCCTTTGCCACCACGACCAGTCATTGTTGCTTGTTAGGTAGAAGAGCAACTACCTACTGTGACTACACGATAGATGACTTTGCCCCTATGCAGACATTCTTCGATGTAAACTTGGGATGTCATCGTCAAGGATGTGACAAATGGTTCCGTTTTCAGGCCACAACTGCAAATCGCTTGTCAAATCATGGCCTTTTTCACGAACTTGTCGGCAAACACGAACTTGAATCTTCCCGGCACATCCTCACGTCCAGTCGCGATGTAAAACTTTTGACCGAGAAGTTGCTTAAAAACGAGTTTTACGTATGTTTCGTCATCGATCAAAGTGCAGCCCTTGTGTTTCGTCAAAACACGGTAGTACAATAGCATTGCACGCTTTTTGACCACGGAGTTCTGCTCCAAGTGCCGGTTCGGATGTTTACTAGCTTTGTACGACTTGTGTCCTTCCCTGACAAGGATGTTCCGTTTGAAAGTAGGCGTTGTACCTTCTGGCCACATCTCGGATCGAAAGACCGGTGTTGGCTTTAACGTACCTTTCGTAGGTCCGCTGATTCCTTTCCACACTCAGGGTTTCCTTGTAGGTTTTGAGCATTCGACAAACTGTTGTTTTTGGCATCTTCGGCACTTTAGCCAGCTTGGAACCGGACCACTCCGGACTTTCCAGGTGTTTGTGCACAATATGTTTTCTTCTTTCGAGTTCCATTTGACGTTATTTCTGAACGCGATCGACTACTTTGATAAAACTTGCACCGGTTGTTCTCTATAGAAGTGTAAACAAACCACTGTCAAAGATTTTTGATTCCAAACACTAGAGGCGTGGTAGCGGCGCGCGAGGGACGTACCAATTTACTTTTAGTCAGTCTTTATGAAATTATGGAATATTAGGATAGTATGAAAATATTTCGATGGCGTAAGCAACAAGACAAGAAGTTTGTGTTTGACATATAATACCTGCCAGTTTTGCTACATGAGAGTCACAATAAGCGATTTTGTTTGGGGTGAGATACCACTCTTCGCGAAGAGGCGATCAGAAAATCGCGCATTGTGACTCAGTCAAAGCTAAATTTGCAGGTTTTATGTGTCAAAAAGAAACTTAACAATCTTTTCTTGTTAATTACCATTGGCGTAAATATAGGGGGCGGGGCGGGAGAGACCTTTGGTTGCCCCCCCCCCCCCTCCCCCAGAAAATTGCAGAAATAAATACCGGAGCAATTTATTTTCCAGATTATTCAGAATAAATTCTGCTGTGATTTTAAATTGCTTCATATATTGCATATTCATGGTTGATACTTTGTTTTAGGAATTATCCTTAAATTACGCTACCTTTGATATTTTTCATCAATATCAGTATTGAAATTATCATCAGAACGCCCATTTAATTATACTTATAATTCGTTTTGAACTCTAATTGGAAGTCTTTTGAAATTCTACTTTAATTTTCGTGCTATTTTCCTCACGATGCCCATTAAATTCCTCAGATTCACCTAAAAATTCAATTAATTATATGATTTGAGTAGTAGCTATACTAAAGATCCGAGAGATGTCGCCCCTTCAGTGGTAGGAAAATCATTTTTGCAGTATGGAGAATATCAGAAAATCCACGATTTGTGACTAAACATGCTTTCACAGAAGGAAACAAATAAACGAGTGTTTACCTTATCACCATAGTAATGTACTCGTGCAATTTTTGTGCATCTAAAATTGCCCATAAAGACGATAATGAATAAAAACTGAAAAATTTCATGCATTTCCAAATGGTTTCCTACCATTCCCATGCATTCGAAAGTGACTGGCCCTCTGGATGTGGATGATATTAAAAACAGCATAACTTGATTAATTCAGAACTTCCTTTTATCTCACAATTTCTTAGAACTTCATCTCAAAATTACCTTGAAACGTGGCTCCTTTAGAATGTTTCCCCTATTTTTTTCTCCTCAAAATTTCTTCAATTACTTTTAAATCCTTCCGCAAAACTCCATGGGTATGCTCGGCAGAGTTCTATAAAAATATCTTAAAAAATTAAGAACCCTGATCATTCTTCTGAAAATGAATGATTTTTTTTCAGGAATCTGGAACCTTGATAATTCAACAAATCTTACGCGTTAGGATCACCAAGATTTGTAAAAGTTACAAATCTCGAAAAAAAAAATATCATAGTCTAAGACTCTAAACTAATATCAAAGTCTCACAATCTTATCAACTTTCCTAGATCCCAAAACATTCTCCAAGAAATTTCCCTAGATCTCATTTGTTATTAAATCAAAGTATTCTAAAACAATTTCTTAATCCATTAATTCCTTATTTAGAATTTGATCTAATGACCCATTCAGACCGATAGTGTTCCTACCTAGTGACCATTATAAATATCTCTATTTCTCAGAAAATTCTGGAGTTTTGAAAACATAAGGTCTGGGCTGGCGTAAAACATAAGGCTTAAAAAAGTGATAGAAATTGTTTTTTTAAGTACTATTAAATATTTACCCACAAATAACTACGAAAACATGCACGCGGTCACGATTTAAGGAAAAATAACCACTTTTACTTTTAACTTAAAATTGAAAACTGGGAAATTTTTGAGATTCGTTGCGGGAAAATCGAGAAAAAAAAAACGGGAATTTTAAAGTCAAAAGTCACTGGCCACTCTGTTTAACCAGTGAACATAATTCCATAATTCAATGAAAAAATAACATTTTTTTTCTTATTTTTTATCCCACAATTCGTTGGGTCATAAAGAGGGGTGATTAACAAATAATATGTTGGAAAATGTATAAAATCGGAGGTTCTTGGATTTCTTGCATTAAGTATTTAACATCGAAATTAAATTTGGCATTGGCCACTTAAAAATATAAATTATTTCACAATACATATTTGTTCTGCTCTAATTAGAAGCAATATATGGTAAAAATGAAATTTCACAAACCAGCCTAAAATCACGTTAAAATTCCGCAGAATTCCTATATTGACTTATAGGAAATCGACAAAACTGTGCTAACAGCGGAAGCAATTGTCTTGAAAAATGTCCTCAGAACAAAAGGCTTGTCATGTTACATCGAAAATCTTAAAAGTTAAGACCTTACACCTTTTTTTTTGTTTATTAATTTATTTGATAAGGCTCAACCGAATTAACTTTACAGAGCCGAGGATTCTTGGTCACAATACAATTCATTTTAAAACTATAGTCAAAAGGTACAACACAATAAACACTTTATCTTCCGCTATCCAAAAAGCCTCCTCCATCAGAACTGGAGCCGCTTCCAGTAGTTTCATTGTATGGCAAATTGTTGTGCGCCAACGAGGGTCAGAGCGCGTCCATTGCAGCAATGGATGCAAAACGTGGTCAGCACTCACACACTCATCACGAAACGGTTGCTTTCCAAAGTCGACGACGCATCGACCGAAAGAACTGCTGATGAAGAACAATGAGGAGGACCACACAATGGTTGCTGCCGAGAAAACAGACGATCGCGTAGCACACATCGAGAGTGGCCTGCTTTTGTCGACAGCCGAGTGAACACTGAAGACCTTACACCTAAGGCCGTTCGCAACGCTGTTGTATTTTATAAGGACTGTTTCAATTTGAAACTAGAACAGAAACGCACCTCTCGCAATGCTGAGTTGCAGTTTCATTATTCGAGCACTATTTTGCACCAGATTTGCAACTGCTCGACTATTCTGTTTTATTTCTGAGCTAGTTTGAAACACGAATGGAACTCTGTTTCAAATTTCTTTGGATGTGTTGAAGATGTTTCGAAGAGCTCCACAAAAAAAAACGGAGATCTTCATAGAGAACAGTAAAGTTTATGGAACTTGATGATTACAAACATGTTTTAGAACTGTGCGTTGCGCTGATCGTGTTGCAGTTTTATTTTTGACAGTTTCAAATTATAGAATTGACGAGTAGTTTAAAACATTTTTGAAACTCAGCATTGCGAACGGCCTAACACGTACTAGTTCTTACAAACAGCCATTGGTCTGCCGGTCAGTTCAGCAGGGTGTGAGAGAAGCTTTTCGGTCATGAGGCGCATCAAAACGTGACTGAGAACTACTATGTTCCAAGACCGGTTTTCATCACTAGCGGTACTAAACATTGAAAATGAATTTGTCAATGAAAAGGTTACTCCTGAACAAGTTTGCTAAAGGCAACCAAAAAGTTAAACTCGTGTGAAACTTAAAATTCGAGAAAACGCATTCGTCAAGGTATTTCTTTTTTGGACTGAAATGGGTACATTTTTATATTATGTTCGAAATCGTTTTAATCAATGAACCCCTCACCATCCCTCTCCAAAGGGGGAGTTTTTTAAAGAGAGATGAAAAACCGATTTGTACCTTCCCAAAGTTGTCCTAGTTCGCTTTCTACTCTCTATATACAATTTTCACGCTGCTGTACTCTAAACGGAACTATCAATTCTATACTTTCATCTCCTCATCTATCGTATAAAAATTACCACTTTAGTCTGTTATTTGAAATTATCATCTTCAACTACTCAAAATATTGCTTTATTTTGAAGTTTGAGCAATAGTAAACGTAATTTTGAACTGCTCAAATGAAATGGCTAGTTGGTGACCTTCCCTAATAAAAATTACCACAAACGAACGATAATCCAAATCATTGAACAATTCCACAAATGGTTTGGATGATACCCCGAACATGTCGTTAAGCAAATTAACCATACCATTTTTATTAGGGTTGCTGTTCCTCATTGGAAAGCAAGAACTGCAAGAAGTTTCCATTAAAATTTAACTATTAGGTACACTCTAGCAAAACATACTTCACACCCAACATTGCACGCAACAGCAACCGACGATGATCGCCGCCGCCCGTCAGTAGCATACCTAATGCCTGCCCATTTCATGCTCGCCCCGTCGGATCACCCATCTCGCTCCCACCGACGAAGCCACCCATTCGAGCTGTCCGTTCGCAACGATCAAAGTCAAAACAAACACGGGCCACGGCGCTCGTTTGCGGTGCTGCACCACTACACTCCCATAATATGAAATTTTATGTTGCGTCGTGTCGTAGCGACCATACAGTGGAGGGTGACTCTTTCGTATGTGTTTGAAATTTCGCCTCTTTTTGACTCTGCCAAACGAAGAAGAAAAGTCAGCTCGGCAAGCAGCAGCAGTCATCGTCACCCGCCTCGCTGTCATTAGTCGCGTAGTGGAAGGGAAAAGTAGTGTTGTGCCGTCGAAACTCAACTCAAGTGGAGGTCCGCTGATTGAGAGACTTGTCTTTTTTGCGGACTCACCCGAAGATTGCGCGAGTGCTTTTACCATTGTTGGAATAAAGTGAATTCGAAGTTGGTTTTGGGAAAATTACCATTTCTGGATACGAAGCGAAAAGTGTGTTATTCGATCGGTTGAATTGAGTTGAAAAGTCATCATCACGGGAAGAGCTCCCAGGGCGAAAATTTAAGGTTCGTGAGCACCGCACCCCACACATTTAAAATTCCCTGTACCTATCTCGATACGTGTTGTATACGGCGTGTGGTTTGTGAGTAATCCGTAATTCGTGCACAGTGGGTTGACTGGAAGTTAGGTGTGTGGCAACAATGTTTGTTCAATGTTGGCTTTATTTAAAAAATACTTATTACAGTTTTTATGATGTAAATAAAATACAATTTTACTGTAGTTTTTGAACAGCAAAATGCCCCGTAACGTGGGTAGGTCACCTTATCGTGGTATGTTACGGGATGTAAGATCTACTACCCATCCCTAGTCCTGACTATTTCAAACTAGGGGAACCTGATTTTTGAGTAATCAAAGGAACACATCTTAGTCCTTGTTATATATTTATGCCTTGATAATAGTGATAAGTTAGTTAGCCTTCTTCTATGTGATTCCTAATCTTCTATTCGTTGTTCCCTAGTTTGAAGTGGTTAAGACTAGGGTTCTGATACATGGTCATTATCGGTGTCGTTGCTTAATTTTGTTGTTGTTGAATTCCTTCAATTTCGACTGACAAAAGGGCCCGCCTTTGGAGAGTGCTTTCACTCTTCGAAGGGTATAAGTAGCGGGACCCTTCAATTAGAATCGATTCCTTGCGGTGAACGCAAGAATGACAACTGTATCAAAACCGAATACTTCATTATTTCTTGATAGCGACGGAGTAATACGACATGCACTAAACTGGGAACACAGGATAAACTACAATAGATCAAATAGATCAAACAGAGGGGAAAAAAACATCAAAATCGTAATTTTATAGAAAATGAACATACGCATGCAACGTTCCAAAAATGATTTAGGAATATTCAGTAATTTTCACGAAATTAATGAAAATGTGCCGACCCAAAAAAGAAATCCATTGGTTATAAGAATTTGTTTTGATAAATTAACAGCAACAAAATAAGCATTTTGGCATTATACTAGACATTTTGACATAACTTTACCAGCATGACCAATCACCATTACCGTGTGTTTTATAGTTAGATATCAATTTTACAATTGAACAAGTCAATAATCACTTGAGATTAATTTCATGTAGAATTTTGCTGATTTCTGTCTAATTACTGCATATATTTGACGTTTAATCCGTTTAACCACTCGTAAGCGTAGTTGTTATTTAATTTACTGTCACACACAAGCTTGCGGCTGTTATGATACTGTCGGCGACAAGAATGAGCTATGACATTTTTTTCTATTCTTTATCTCCGGCTATGCTTGAAATGTAAACAATACACGATCGCCCGTCAACAGTCATCGTTCCGTTAAAACTAAAACTTTCACGCAACTAAAAATGTGCTGCAAGTTGAACAAAATGTGCCTCTAGTAAAGGGCTTTCGTAAATGTATTGCGCATTTATCGTTATCTTTATAATTTTGTTTTCGAGTCAATTGGATTGACGATAGCAACGTGATTCGTTGATCACAGAATCGAGCAAATGGCAGATGAGAATGCCGTGGCTAATTGCTGAGGTGCTTTCAATTATAATTAAAATTTGCTTGATAGAGCAAATCAATGCTTGTTTTATACATAATTGTGTTGGTATTGATAAGGAGATAAGTACTATGTTTTAGTAGATAAAATTAATCCTAATGAATATAATCTGTGCCAAAAAAGGTCAATCATTGATTTTATATCTAGATTAAAGTGGGGCAAAAGTTTGAGCTTAGTTGAAAAATAAATTGAAATTTCTCAAAACTCCAACCATATTTAATCTAATCTAACATCAACTCAACTCAAGGTGGACATCTTGTGCCAAACGTTCCGTTTTTAGTGATGATATTTTGATTGGTTGGTCGTTGGAAGCATTTAAGCTATAAAGGTAACCCGTTAAAAAAAAATCCAATAAAAATACAATGATTTTCATTGTCATTGTAACCATGATATTTACTGTCAAAACATTTAACATTTTTGTTCATTACCATAAAATCACAACGAAATTCATGGTTCACAACCTGGGGGCAAGACAACTGCACTCAGAGTAAATATATTTGCAGCGAGTAAATTTGAGTTACTCATATTTACTCAAAAATGAACAAAGTAGTCTCGAGTTTCTGATCAAAGAAATATCGTCTGACAGCATATTTCGTTTGAAGCATCTAGTCGCACATTTGAAAGATCGAATCGCTCGTTTAACAAATCGAACTGTGGACAAACGAAATGCTACTGTGGTGGTTTGACTGCACGACGGGTTTTACGGGGCTTGGATGCCTTTCAGGCGCCTTCCCTCGTTGGTGAGGATTGACACGGCCTAGGATGATACAGGATTGACTGAAGTTACCCGTTCCAAAAGGGGAATGCTCCTTTTCGGTTAGCTGAGGTACAACCTGAGCTTGAAACTTCGTTCGTGGTCAATAGAATTGGTCCTTGACTGCTGATTGTGGTATATTAGCTGCTGATTCTAGACCAGATTAGGTCAGCTCTGGCCAGCTTCGCCAGCGGAAGAAAACCACTTTTACTTTAGCGCAGTATCATTGAAAAAGCGTTGCCAGATGTATTGCCTCTAGCAATGAATTAAAGTTTATTAAAACAAGCAATTGTGAAGTTTGACTGGATGTATTTAATGGTGAATAAATATCATAAACTGAATAAATTAAAAAAAGACCATTTTAGGCATTTTAGCGGTCCAATTAAAACAATTACAGAAGATTGAATTCAACGCTAACAGGAGAGATGGTAGCAGTGCCACTAACTATATTGCTCTAAGAATTGAATTTATTGAATTAGTTAAGCCTAATCCGAACCTATCGAACCACCCCAAAAGTCCCTACACAGAAATTCCAAGAAAGCACGTCAACTAACTTTGCTTGACAGCATCGGTTTCAACGTAATTTTCAATATAACAATCAGGTTGCTATGAGTATATAAGACATTGAGCAGCGTGAGTTACTCAGAGTTACTCAAAACTAACTTCGGTTTTACTCATGATCGATAGCTGTCAGTTCACAACAATGAAAATCATGGTATTTGAGAAATTTACAGTAAAAAAGGGGGGTTGTTAAGCATCTTAACAATATAAAAAAGTTATTTTTCCTTGAACAAATTTGATCTCATCACACTAATTTTCGCTGAAAATCGAAATCTATTTTTTTCTCTCGTATAATAATTTAACAATAAATTTTAATGTACTCAAAATTCAACAGTAAAAATCATTGATATTTCGTTGTTTTATTATAATTATTTTTTTTTCGGGTAAAACGCAAGAGAGAGTCAAGTCCGAATTTCGGTTACAATAGGATACATTTGGCAGAGAGAAAAGATGAAGGCTGAACCCAAAGTTCGGTAAATAGCGATATCTACGAGTTCGGTATGCGAAAACCGAGAAATCTCGATAAACTGAATCCATTATTCGCTTAACATTCTTAATCGTCAAATTTTAACCGAAGATACTCTGTTTTCTTAGATGAGTTAAAAAAAATAGAAGTCGTCAGACATTTCAGCATGTGCAACAGGATAAACATTAATTCTTTTGTCACTGAAACAGTCTCGTGTAGAAGGTAGTTTTTAGTTTCCCTCGATGATGCCAGAAAGTCTGGCGAAATATAAATAGTCATGCACAGGACATTAAGAAATGAATAAGTCATACATCTAAACAAAACTGGATTCTATTTCTACATATTCTACAAGGGGTTGGTCACTCTACACAGTGTGCCAAAATCAAACTTGGGCACACCCGGGTGCAGTCATTGGCGTTGTTTGGCACCTATGGTTACAATCTTTATGATCTCTAAAGTTACTAGCAACACTGACATTTTTCTGCGCCTGCGCAGTGCGCATGTGTCAAAATGTTATTGATGTTGCCACTCTTAGTCAAATTATTTTCAAAACAACCGTGAATCTCCACCAAGTCTCGCCATGGATTCTCAAAATCGTTACACCCGCGACGGCAGTCGCATCCACATTTCCTCCCAGACAGCTAAGAAGAACAGCTAACAGCGGTATCTTGACCTGACCGAGGTTTCCGGCCATGCCTACAACGAACTACCGTTTCCTCCGCCGGCTCCCAGAAGAGTTGGTTGACTAATGATTGACGTTCGTTGTGCGGGGTCGGTCTTCCGCCGAAGATAGAAGGATCGTGTAGCAACGGAGCTCGTCCGTTGCAGGCATCCTTGGAGGCGGATGCATCCAGTGTGTAGTCCCAACTGGAGTCCGTGTCGTTTTTGAAAACATTGAAAAACAAAACAAAAACAAGAGCTGTTAAAATACCGTGTTGCCAAACAAGGCATTATTCACAAGCAATCAAAAGTCAGTTCAATGACTTCTTGGCACTGCCGGTACAGCTGCGGCACACTGAGGTACACTGAGAAAAAAGTTGGCGCAAAACAAGTGTGTAGAGTGACCACCCCTTGATATTCTATTTAACTTATATTTGGAATGAAATTCATGCGCTGCTTTGACAGCGTTCGGTAATACTTGAGTAAACCGATGTTAGGTTATACCTACTTGAATTTGTTTTTAGTCAACTCAGTTATTTCGGTAAGTTTGACAGATTGCCGGAAAAGAAAATTAAACGAATGCTCGGCTCGATGCTCGGTTGTTTCTTCTTGAACCTAACAGACTACCGAGCGTTCAGCAGATTAAAACTCGGTTTAAATTGAACCGAGTTCGGTGTGCATCTTCAATAAAACGCAATCATGCCATGAAAAATCCCCTCACTATTTTTTTTTAGATGCACGGTACAAATTTTATAAGTTATCATCCTGAAACACACTCTTCGAAAATACCTCAAATTCCTGACTTTAAAAGACCTTCCAACAATGAGTTTTATTTTGCACAGCAGTCGAAAACCTCAAAACGAACTTTTAACCCACCTTACTCTAATCTTTCAGTCATTGAGAACGTTTTTCATATTCTTTCAGTTTCTCGCCGGTTTCGTTCGACTGCTGGCAGTTCCAAGTCTATGGCAGTGATCTGCTTGGCAGAATCATCACTCGTTCAGCTACCTTTTAGTATCCAAGCATGACTATTCTGCTGGAGGTACGAGTGAATTAATTTGCCCATTAATGCATTCACTCTTATTCACTCAAAATCGGTTCAAATGCTTCTTCTGCCAAAATACAAAGTTTTGCAATTGTTTCTGCAGAAACAGTATAATTAATAATTTAAGTAAAGTGAAAGACGCACTACACTCTGATTCTAAAGAAGACCGAAGTTGATTCCTGCGCTAAAAATAATCCCGCAAATGTTGATTCATTATGCCGGAGATTCAAAAATTAATAATTTTCAAAGTTCTATCACCGTTACTTTGTCTGTTTGATTTTCCTATTGTACAATCTAGCGCTGTATTGCATTAAAAATAATAATTTTCTAACACTTCAAAATTGGAAGCTTTCAATAATTTATACAGAAATCTGCTTAAATACATTAATGGAGCTCAATAAATGTCAGTGGTGTTAAAAGCTTGTTAGACATGCATCTTATAAAAAAAAACTGTTGGGATTAAAATTTTACTCAACTTAGATCCTATTGTTATAATTTATGTTTCGCAAAACCATTAAATTCTAATATTCTTATATCAAATTTTAATTGTTAGCTACAAACATGACTTACATAAATACGGAAAATTCACGAATTATGGACCAGAAACCAGGAAAAAGAGCAGGAATTTTAAAATAGAAATATAGTTGCCACCCTATTTATAGTATTATGATCCTTTGAGAAATCATCAATACAATACTCACAGAGTGGCCGGTTCCAAGGCACTCTAAAGCTGGGTTTAGACAGGGCAAGTAAGTTGATCAAGTCAGTTGAATTCAACTGACTTGAACGTGAACTGAACGTGTAGTGCCATTCAACTGACTTGATCAACTCACTTGAATTGAATAAAGTTGAACCAGCCTCAACTTTTCAAGCCAATTGAATTCAACTGAGTTGATCAATTGACTTGCCCTGTTTAAACCCAGCTTAAGGGTGTCTCATGCACAGTATGAAATCTTTCTACAATTTACTTCAAGCACCCGTTATGAAACTGCTTCACTTTCCAGTTCAAGACCATTGGAACAAACACTAGTGAAATGTTGGCCATTACGACCCGTTTACGAATGTTCCGGGTTGTTTCCAGAATCCCCAGGAAAGATACATTTTCAAAGGATTTTCAGTTCCCAAGATATGGATATTCAATCATTTGCCATTTCAAGACCATTGGAATACATATTGGTGCGAAACGGTGATTGGGACAAGGTTCTGGATATTCCGTGATGAAGCTGGCGCCCTGGAAAGTATTATCCGAACGGACCTAGTAATCCACAGGAATTAGTCTGGTCAAAAGGACAAAACAATGTGTATGTAAGGTAGCCACCATCCCTTCAAGACTTGTCGTGTATGCAGCTCCACTTAATAGCAAGATCAATTTGAGCTACCGATCTTCACAATATCGCTGTATGGAGGGCCAAAACGGAAGGGCGGACCCGTAAGCAGAGACACTTACGCGAAATCCATGGGAATTTAAGAATCTCCTTGCTACGATACGCTCCAACAAATCGAATAACCAGCTTGATATGTTTTCATAAAAGTAGTAAATTTTATAGCTCTGAAATATTTGTTTATTTGGTTCTACATCAACATACTGGGTTTAGTCCTAATGATGGATTAAGCAATACTAGGAAATACAGTATAGTCAAGAAGTAACAAGCTGCAAAGGCCGTGAAGTCCAACTTAATTCCTAATTCTTAAAAATATATCACGGAATCTCTGACGTCTCACGTGCCAAGTGAAAATCAAATAAGGAAGCAACACGATTGAAAACCCTTTGTTGCCCATTTATAGCACCATACGAACTATAGTTTGTACGACGACAAGGTATCCTCAGCATTGCGTTGTTACGGAGTGCTCGTGGTTGAACGTTAACGTCGATTTGTTGTAGAATAGAAGGACAATCGATTCTGCCCTGTGGAATGTCTGCCACACTGTCATATCTCTTCGACTCCACAAAGGATCCAGGTGCATTAACTTAACGATGAGGATCCCTTCAAGGCAATCGTCGAAGGGCAAACCAGATGAATCGTCCTTGAATAGACTCTACTATTTGTACACTGTTTTTTAAGTTTTTTTTTTTTGATAACTGATATTGTCATTGTGTAATGCCATGTTTTTTAAATCATAGCAATTACACATTTCAGGTGCTTTGAGAAAAATTTCAAGTTATAATGCTTTCGCTTGTCCATTCGTCATTAGTTTTGTTTTACGCAATAAATATTAATGATTGCTCTCGAAGATCTTTACGATTTGCTATTTCCATTGAACCGGCGTAGTTCAGCTGTAAATCGAAACAAAAGTGCCATAAAAAGCCTTTCGCCGTGACCACACACCACTGATTTAACAAGCGAGTAAACTCGTTACCTCACAGTCAATTATTGCTGTTATTATTGGATCCGATTAATCACAAACGAGCCCACTGTGCACTGGAGCCGCTCCGAATCCTCCGCCCCTCTCGCCATATTCATGAATGAGTCGAGACGAGGAAAGTCAGTGTTGATTTGTCATCATTATTTCAACGTTGCTGTTGGTAGTGGTGTAATGTTTTCCATTTGAATGCGTTTACAGTAGTAGTTGTTTGTCACCCACACAGCCACACAGGTGAGCGTTGAGTGAGTAAAGCATGCAACATAATAATTTCGAAGGGTGGTATTCGTGATCGCATCGCACCAATACCGTTGCAGGGCGGGAAAACGACACGACGACGAAGCAAAAGTGACAGCTCTTGCGATCGTCGAACAGCAGCAGACACTCCAGCCAGGCAGCAGGAGAGTAACGAAACGAGTGATGTTGTAAGCATTTTTTCCTGCATCGTGTGACACGGAGGTGGAAACAAATTGTGCAAAAAGAAAATCGAAGCGTAAAGTGAAAATCCGCTGCATTAAAGTTTTGTGCCACGGAGGATATCTAGTGTGATTTCCGCACGGAAGGTTCGAACACGGTTCGAGGGCGTTGAAGATTCGAAAGGAGTATCCTTGAGTGCTTGGAAAGAAGGCGTTTAAAGTGAGAATCCCCATGGTGGAGTGTGTCGTTGTTAGTGTATGGATGGAGCTGCAATTCGTGCATTCAGAATAAATTTTGTGTTTTTATTGCGAAGAAAAAAAAGTGTTCCCCGTCAGGCAAACGAGCCCAAATCAAGGAGGGGCAAAAGTCATAAAATAAGTGTAATCACTTGCAATCTGGCAAAGGTGGAAGAAAGGAAGAACTTCTGCGGAAGAAAGAAAACCTGTGTGGCAAATTTTCAAAGAAGTTAAGTTTCACTGGATATTTCACTCAGAGAGGGTGAACGGCGGGAACTAGAAGAGACACGTAAGGAATAGGCGGACCTTGCTGCTGGCTGATATCATTCCTCAAGGCGGACGACCGACGACGTCAGACTGAGTGTGATTCTTCGTCATCCAGAAGTCAATCATCGGAGCGCGAGAATAACATTCAAGTGAGTAATAACGAACGACAATAATAATAGGAGGTACACAAGATATATTGGGCGTTTTGTTGAGGGAGTGGGAGCACAGAGGTGCGGAAACAGTACAGAAGAGGCTAATTTAGAATTCTGGAAACGAGCGACATCCTTGCGGGTGTCGTGTTGTGTTGTCGAGCGAGCAGAGTGCTACCGAGTTGGCTTTTCGAGTTGTAGTTTGGGGAGCTGCCGACCGGATGTTCGTATACCTTTTCGGTGGTGACAGACGGATCTGGTTGAAATTTAATTAGACTTTGATGCGATGATCAAGATTCGTTCAATTTATGATTGTATTTATGATTTGTGTCTTCCTCAAACTATGACTAAATTTTCCTTAAAAATCTCGCTACTACATTTAGAAAATACTAGGTATAATCTTCATAAATTACGCTGAAAAAAAAAGTCGTAAAAATGCGACATTAAGTTGGAATTTCGTTTAGTGTACATGTTGATTACAACAAACAATGTTGCTGAAATTTTTTTTTTTTTTTTAATATGGAAACAAAAAAACAAGCAAAAAACGGTGTCAATTTGCAGTAGATATTAAATATTGCTGGTAAAATTACGTTAACCACGTCAGTTGATCCATTCGATTCCCGCATAAACGAGAACCATAACTTGACCTTACCGAAAATGGTTAAAAATGATTTATAATCCCTGCTAAATTTGAACTGAAATTTTTATAGAACTTTACATGAACGTTTTTGTTAAAAAAATTTAACCTTATGTATTATGGTTCTTTGGAAATGAACCTAACAAATAATGGGTTGCTAAGAACCATTACCATTCAAAATAGTTGTTTTCTCCATACATTTTTGGAGAGAGGACTATATTAGAACCTTTTTACTTATGGTTTGAGAACTTTGATGGTAATGGTTATGGTAGCCAGTAAGGTCCATTTATGGTTTTGTATTATCGGTCAACTTTACGTGGAATATATCGCGAATTGGTAATCAGTAATTTACAGGCAACCAGTTTGCGATATATTCCACATAAAGATGATCGATGTTACAAAACCATCTATGATCCTCTCCGTCTACCATAATTAATGGTAATGGTTATGAAATAATAAATAAAATGGTTCCAATATAATTCCTTACCCAAAAATGTATGGAGAAAACAAGAATTTGGAATGGTAATGCATCTTAGCAACCTATTATTTGTAAGGTTCACTTAAAAAAAAACCATAATACATAAGGTTAAAACTTTATCACACAAATGATCATGTAAAGTTCCATAACCATTTCAGTTAAAGTTTAACAGGGATTATAAACAATGTTTTGCCATTTTCGGTAAGGTTCGCATTTATGCGGGTTTACAATCTAAATTATCTGTTTCCAGAAGTTGATAAGTTACAGATCAGTAAGCCGTTTTTAAGCCTATAATATACAAATAAAATGGACAAATTGGTACGTATTATTTCGTATTAATTTTTCATCGAATCCTAAGCCAATTTCTCAAAAAAGTATGTTTCTCTCAGATTCGTGGATGGAATTAGTAGGTTCTCAAGAAATCATTCCAGAATTTTCTTAAAACACACATTAAACAAAAAATATATTTCAAAATTAAACGAAATGTAAGAGTATTAAATACTCATAGATTCCGAAGAGGAACCCTTCTTCTTATTCTTCTTCGCATTTCAAGCTTACTTCTTGCTTATCACATATTAGCTTATTACGTGCTCTTAATTTAGTTTTCTAAATACACTTCCAAAGTTATTTATTGAGAGCTTTCAGTGCCAATTTTTCCTTTGGTTTGTTTTTTCCGTCGATCTTGTTTTCCGTGCTGAGCACCAATGCTACCGACGTGCCAGGAAGGCAGCTCCCACACCTGGACCCTACCTATCGACCCATCAACTCATGAACCGGGGACCAACGGCTTTACTTCCCATCCGAAGGAAGGCGTGATCAGAGATGTTATGCCTCAGAACATCCCGGCGGCGCCGACTGGGATTGAACCCAGGCCTGCTGGGGTGAGAGGTAATCACGCTTACCACTACACCACTGGCGCCGTTCAGTGCCAATTTGCGATGCATGAATTTGTTTTTTGTGTGGCAAGCACAATGATACTGTACTCTAATAGAACAATCTGTTTGCAACATGCCCATAAGACTTCTGCGGTAAATTAGCAAGGAATCGGTATGTTATTTATGTAAAAATACAAAAGATCTAGAAATTATAAAAAATAAGAACCTGGAATTCTTCAAAAGATCTTATAGATTATCTTGTGGATTTATAACTATTTGGAAATTGGATCCAGGGTGCAAGTTTAACGAATCTCCTGGCAAGACTATAATTCTTCCATGTCTAAAAAATCTAGAATTAATGGCAATTATTGGAGGCCATAAGGCAAACATCGAGGAGAATCATCTGAAACTCATGAAAAAAAACTCAAATAACTAAAGCAACGTAATCAAAGACTTCATCGAAAAAGCTGAGAAGTCCTCGATCAAACAGTGTATCGCAAAATTGAGCGTACACCCTAGTGGAACATATTTTGCAACATTCTGAATACACACTTAGAAAAAATCATATAAATTTAGGTGCTCTGAGAATGACATATACGAGCGTCAATTTTGACATAAATTTGAGTCAGAACAGATACGAAATATAGCTCAATCATACGTACTTTTCGTCGAGCAACGAACTTTTCAGTCTCGGAGCACTTAATATTACATGACATGTTTGTTTACGTCTCATCTTTTATGTCAAATATGGATTCCGTCACGTGTAAAATTAGTTATTTCTAAGCGTGTGGATATATTTTTGTTAATCTTTGCTGGTGGTTAAACAGATGTTAATTGATTTATCGTTTCAGTTTGGACTTTATTGGAATAACCTTATGAAGTTAGATTTATTAAAACAAAAAGCAAAACGCTTGATTTTCAACTTTTTACCTAATAGACGAATTCTAGTAAAATTAGTGGAATAAGAATGATCTTTATTATGACTAAAAATGAGCAAAATTTCAAAAAGTTTACTTCATTATATTTCAAGGTATCAAAGTTTTTCATGGAAAGGGCAAATAGCTCTTACTTTTAATAAACGCAACCAAATAAGCCCTACTTGATAAGTAGGGGAAATAGATGTAATGTCGGCCTAAATGTCCCTAATTTGGGCCCATACATAAATTCTTATTGTTATTCTTTGCAGCTAACGATTTAGAAGAAACAGTTTCACGCTTAAATTAAGATTTGCGTTCTCTAAGTAGATGGTTGAAGTATAAACAATTGAAATTGAATATAAGTAAAACTAAATTCTTGGTAATTTTGCGGAATCGCGTAGATGATGACGTCTCTGCTGTAATTGATGATGAGACAATTGATCGCGTGATTATTGATAACAATTTCATCAAGAAAATTGTCAAGAAGTATGGAATTCTATGTCTCTTGAACAATCATTAAACTATTGGTAGTCAAATTCATAGTTGCGTTCTGCCTAGTGCACTTACAAAAGTTGATATGTAACGAAAAAAATTTGAAACTCGGAGGTTCCAAAAAACTTTTGTATACTAAATTATGGAACATAATTTGTCAATTTAATACTATCTTGAAGCCTAATAAAAAAAAAATGCAAATTGATTCATTTAGGTATTTCATTTTACCATATTTATATTTTATGAAACCAGGAAAACTATGATGGGCATCCGGAAAAACAAGAAAAAACGGGAAATTGGTTTCCTAAGCCCTGAATAAACTTCTTAAATCGCCATGATATCAGAGCCACGAAGATTTCAACTTTATCAGCATAGGTGTTACTTTTCCAAATGGATTAATATTAATCTATTTAAAATAAAAAAAAAACTACAAGGGACAGCCCTATGGGGTTGTACGCAATGGTGACATAGGACTACGTAGTCTTATATAATAAATGTTATTTGTTAACTGCAGCAGGAGCTTGTGTTTTGTGTAGGAATAGGAGTTTGAGCAGGGTTCTCTCTGTTTATACTCTTTAGTATGACGCACTTGGCATAGATGATCCACAGCAACTCACAAAAAGCTACTAATTCCGATTAATAGCGGTGCGGCTTCTTCCTCCTTCTATGTATGCTCATGTGGGCTGAAGCTCGCTGCCTTTCGTTGTGTACTGGAGAACACCACCACTCACCACGTGGTGATTGAATAAACACCGTTTGGTGAGACTGGATGGAATTCAACTTTGAAATCTGTGTTAGGAAAATCGCTTTTCACAGGTAATCGGTGATCATTTTAATTATCATAGCAACTGTTGCACATTCGTGCAATTTTCAATAGTGACATTTTGAAAAATTATTAAGTTCTAATTTTAACAGATTCGTAGAAACAATTCCTATCGATTGGCGTATTAAGATTTAAAATCCATCATCTCTTAATAAAGACCAATTTAATGCCACGACCGACTTTGGTTTTTGAAATTGCACCTCCAATGTTGCCTTAAAGTACATGGTATGTTAGATTTAAACATATCTAAATAGAGCTGAAAATAGGTGCAACAGCTTTTGTAAACAATGATTTCTCTTGATGATTTTTAGGAATTTAAGGCACGTCCATGCAAATCAACATCATCGTCGGGTAGGGGAAGTAGTTCCCAACCCGATGGTGGATGTTGATTTGCGTAGGCGAGCCTTGACTTTCAAGACATCATCGAAAGAAGTCATTGTTTTCAAAAGTTGCCACGCCCTAATTCCAGCTCTATCTTGATATGGGAACTGACATCCGATTGATGACCTTGATAAATATCCAAAAACTACTTTTTTACAAATTTATGGTGATCTACAGCGACTCACGAAGAGCTACTGATTCGGATCAATAGCGGTGCGGCTTCTTCCTTCTTCTATGGATGCTCATGTGGTCTGCAGCTTTCGTTGTATTCTGGAGTACAATGTTCAACGCGCCGAAAGCACTGCTGCTGCCGCTTCAGCTGATGCCGACGACCGGACACCACCACACATGGTGTTTGGAACTGAATCCGATCGGCGGTTGAGGCCCGGCTTGATAG